CCGGTGCCGTGAATCCCCTTTGTTCTCGTGGGTGTCGGAGTCTCTGTTTGATCCTTGTTCCCTGGCAACAAGGGGACATTAGAGCAAACGTGATGTACAGGCTCTTTGCTATCAGGAGATCTGGCCTGGTGCCCAAAGGACTGGAGGGGCTGTGCTCCATGTGGCAGCCTTGAAGACCCACCCCCCGCTTCACATGACTAGAAGCCCCCAGCCCCTGCCACAGGTACTGCTCTGTCTCACTGTGCCTGGGGGGGGGAGGGCTCGGGGAAGCAGCCATAGAGCCCACAGCACTGAGAGAAAGCCAGGCCGAGCACCTCGCTCTCACCACCCTGCCCCACCCCGACCCCTGGAGCTGGGGCCAGGCCAGATACTGTCCCTGCCCCCAGGCCCAGAGGCCAGTTTTGGAAGAATCAGGCTGTCAGGGCCATGGGGCTGGCCCAGAAATGAGAGCATCCTCAGAACCAGGGGTTATCCTCAGTAACCCATTGCGGTCTGGGAGGGGTGGCTCACACAATCCTGGGTGTAGATCTGGGAACTGGACTGGGTCCTAGGCTAATGCCTTTCCCCAGGGGCACCCTCGCTTTCTGCCCTTTATTTTCCCCTCCAGCTAGGGGGTCTCTGAGTGTGAAATGAACAGGGAGGGTGATGGGGTCCTGGCACATAGCCTGGGTGGGAGCTCCCCTTGGCCTGGACCCCAGGTCTCTGTCATCCTGCTGTCCTTCTTTTATTCCTAGGAAGGGAGTCACACAATGAGGGGTCTCTAGCGCTCCAGGTGGGCAGTGCCTGGGAGCACCTGTAAGTGATCCAGGTTCCTGCCTGCATGCATCACCCTGCCCTGCCCTCCAGTTCCTCGCTATTGACTCAGGTTTGACTCTTGGCTCCGGTCTCTGGCTATGACTTTGGCATGACCCTTCTTGGCTCCAGATGTTCGTTACCAACCCTGGCTCAGTATTCTCCTTACCCTTCTCTAGCCTTGCTCCAGGCCGTCCACCCACGCGCTCCAGCATTGCCGCCTCCTGATATTCCCCAACCCCTCGGATTTTGACTACCCGGCTTTGATCTTCAGCCTGTATCAGGACTCTAGCTTGACATGGACTTGGCTGATCTTTGGTCTCTGACCACCCGGCTTCGACCTCTGGCCTGGACTTGGACTCTGGCTCTGGTTCTGCTTTGTCGATGGACTCTGATCTCCGTTTTGATCCTGGTGTGTCCCTGGACCTTGATTCTAGCATCACTCTTAGCCTAGGTGCCATCCTGCACCTCACTGCGACCTACACTCCAACCACTGGACCTAATTATCAGATGCAGCATGTGACATCAGGTTGTGCAACTTTTTGCAGAAAAGCAGGCTCTCCGCAAGTAAGTGGCCAGATCACTCCAGGTGTGAACCATGGCCTCACTACATGAGCCTGGTCCGATTCTGCTCCTACTGGAGTTGTGCAATGGAAATGTAGGGGTTCCTTTAACCAACCTCCGTCCCTGGACCTACTCCACCATTCTTGACTTGGACACCCGGCATTCCTGATAAAAAACAGGATTACATGGATATCTTTGAAAGAAATGTGGACTCGTTGCCTCTGCACCGGGACTAAGACTGCCCTAGTCACCTACAACCTTGGTTGAAAGTTGCCTTCGCCTGTATTTACGCGTTGTTGGAACCAGAATTAGTGGCTCTCCCTGCATACAGTCATGAAAACCAGTCCTAAGAGTTTATGAGCAAATAAGCGTTTCCCACGGGTGACCAGGCCCTTTTTGGGAAGAAGAAATGTGGGACTACGCCGCTCTTTAGACTATCGCCTCCTGAAAAAAGTGATAGTTTGGAACCCTTACCCCCTGCTGTGAATCCCCTGACCTTGCAACACTTCATCAGTGATGTATTTGGAGACATCGTGGATCCATACAGTGGCATCTATTCAGGTGACATACTTCTCTTTGTGCAGAACTGTCAGCAGCACGTGCACCACATCCGAACCCGGAGAGGTTTTGGCAGCATGGTCTCAACACAGAATTGGAAAAGCGGAACCTCCAGCCAACTCTCCACAGAGTTTTGGGGGTACATCCTCTCCCCAGGAGGTGTTACAATTGATGCAGATAAGGTGGAATCCATTCATAAATGGGACAAAATTTGAAGTCCTCAA